TGCTGAGATGGAATCCCTTCACGCGGGAGGACGTCCACGCTCTGTCCATCTGTGTGTGTTGGCTGGCCTCATCAGCTGCTCAACTTGGGAACCAGCTCGAAGGAAACATTGTGCAAGGAAGATTACAGAGTAAAAAGCTAAGACAGGAGCTGTGCTTCCAGGAGAAAATTCCCAAACAATCCTCACATGTCCTTTATTTCTCTATTACTCTGGACACTCTCGGAAACAACAGGCGAGACAGAAGAAAAACATCACGCTATTTCTGTCACACATTCCCAGTCCTCGTGTGAGACTGCAGTCCCTCAGAATGTGCCGTACCGTATAATTTACTCGCATGCTGTGTGCTTTCAAATGAGCTGTGATACACATCTCCGAGGTGACTTCATACCCAAGCCACTCAGGTGAGGAAAGGGACAGATCATCCACCCCACTTCTCAAACCCAGTTAGTCAGACTACCCACTGCCACTTTCGTTGGTGCCGACACGCTGTAGTTCAGCCGGACTTCCACGGCCAGGATCCTCTTAGAGGAGCCTCAAGGGTAACCCCAAACTGTTGCCGCTCCATCCGAACGAGACCATCCCAAGGAAGTCTGCCTTGCCTTGTGACTGTCAAAGATTGTTCCCCCTCTGTTAAGACTAGCTGTTGTACTTGCCCTGACTGTAGTATGCAGTGTCCTTAAAAATAGGACCGCAGTCAGCATGTGAGAATTAAAACCCACCTGTGCCTACAGAAAGTCACTTTATTACAGTGAGCAAAAAAGCAGTCATCCAGAAATTGCACAGAATGAAGAAAACTGCAGATTCATAGCTAACGTCCCACATACTAAAGGCGACCATGTCTTTGCTCATGCAATCCCTGCTTCAGCCTAGGTCTTGGGGTGAGGAGCGGAGCACGGGGAGAACATCACCATCTTAGGAAAAAAATACCTGCTGAGGGCTTTCACGGAAGGGATGTGCAGCCATCTGAACATCTGCGTACCTCAGGGGCTAGCAGAGTCCATCCCGATTCCCAGAAGGGCAGCGTCCGGGCCTTTCCCCTTCCCGCCTCGCCAACACCCCAGCTACGTCCTCTTTATGACGGCAATCTTGATCTGCATCAGCAGGAGCCGGAGCCACACAGAGCTCCCTCCCCGCCTGCGAGGAGCTGCTGATAGCAGGAGATACTGGCGTCCGCAGATCACAAGTCCAGTGAAAGTCTGGTGAGCTGCCCAGGCAATCACCGCTCGGTTTGAGTCACTGTCCGCTTCCACCTGCTCTCAGCTGGATGGATGAGAAAGGATCCCTCGTGTTCAGACACCCCGGCCAGCTGTGCCCGCCCTTGCAAAGCAAACATTTGATGTCACTGAAGAAAAATAATGGGCAGGTATTTCAGATACTTCCTTTCCCTTCGTGCATTTCTCGGGGGTTTTATCAGGAGTAAAGAGAGTGAATAACGAGATAGCGGCTGGGGCCCTTTTTTTTTCCGGTGCCCCGGGGGGCTCCGCTGAGGCCCTGGTGTCACCTCCGATGGCGCTGACGGCCGCGGCACGGCTGGGGCAGGGACGGGCCATGCGCTGCCCACTCCATCCGTGACATGGCAGGGTGCCTTCTGGCCCCGGTCCCCGGCATCAGAGCAGAAGGAAACTTAAAGCAAATGCCGTGCCAGCTGGGGGGCTCCCGGCACGAAGCAGAGCTGGCAGCGTGCAGTTTCACACCCACAGCACATCCGTCCTTCGCAGCCGTCTCCGGGTGACTGCCGTGGTCAGCGAGGAGCACGGGAGCTGGCAAGCAAGGGGAGAGAGTGCGTTAATGTCAGGTCAGCAGAATTCACCGGGGTTCCTCTCAGAGCAGGAGATGCTGACTCGCTGCCTCGGCACATCGGGGCCTCCCTGCAGCAAACACAGCCGCTGTCTGCACCCCCGGGAGGATCACGGAATCCCAGCATGGCAGGCGTTGGCAGGGCCCTCTGTGGGTCACCCAGCCCAACCCCCTGCCCAAGCAGGGTCACCCAGAGCAGGCTGCACAGCACCGCGTCCAGGCGGGG